AACACTGTCCGTTTTTTTTTTTCGGCCGATTTTTGAGTTTCGATATCTCAGCTCTGGAAGGGGCTAGAGCCTCCATTTTTGCACTCAGGTCTAAGTTCATGGCCCTCTATCAGAATCCAGAGTTTTGGGAAGATTGGAGAAACTTAATTTTTTCGCCAAAATAAAAAAAAAATGTAAGGGGTACCACTGTCGTTTTTTTTCGGGCCGAATTTTTGAGTTTCGATATCTCAGCTCTGGAAGGGGCTAGAGCCTCCATTTTTGCACTCAGGTCTAAGTCTCATGGCCCTCTATCAGAATCCAGAGTTTTTGGAAGATTGGAGAAACTTAATTTTTCGCCCAAAAAAAAAAAACGTAAGGGGTACCACTGTCGTTTTTTTTTCGGGCCGAAATTTTTGAGTTTCGATATCTCCAGCTCTGGAAGGGGCTAGAGCCTCCATTTTTGCACTCAGGTCTAAGTCTCATGGCCCTCTATCAGAATCCAGAGTTTTGGGAAGATTGGAGAAACTTAATTTTTCGCCCAAAAAAAAAACGTAAGGGGTACCACTGTCGTTTTTTTTTTCGGGCCGAATTTTTGAGTTTCGATATCAGCTCTTGCTCTGAAGGGGCTAGAGCCTCCATTTTTGCACTCAGGTCTAAGTCTCATGGCCCTCTATCAGAATCCAGAGTTTTGGGAAGATTGGAGAAACTTAATTTTTCGCCCAAAAAAAAAAACGTAAGGGGTACCACTGTCGTTTTTTTTCGGGCCTGAATTTTTGAGTTTCGATATCTCAGCTCTGGAAGGGGCTAGAGCCTCCATTTTTGCACTCAGGTCTAAGTCTCATGGCCCTCTATCAGAATCCAGAGTTTTGGGAAGATTGGAGAAACTTAATTTTTCGCCCAAAAAAAAAACGTAAGGGGTACCACTGTCGTTTTTTTTTCGGGCCGAATTTTTGAGTTTCGATATCTCAGCTCTGGAAGGGGCTAGAGCCTCCATTTTTGCACTCAGGTCTAAGTCTCATGGCCCTCTATCAGAATCCAGAGTTTGGGAAGATTGGAGAAACTTAATTTTTCGCCCAAAAAAAAAAACGTAAGGGGTACCACTGTCGTTTTTTTTTTCGGGCCGAATTTTTGAGTTTCGATATCTCAGCTCTGGAAGGGGCTAGAGCCTCCATTTTTGCACTCAGGTCTAAGTCTCATGGCCCTCTATCAGAATCCAGAGTTTTGGGAAGATTGGAGAAACTTAATTTTTCGCCCAAAAAAAAAAACGTAAGGGGTACCACTGTCGTTTTTTTTTCGGGCCGAATTTTTGAGTTTCGATATCTCAGCTCTGGAAGGGGCTAGAGCCTCCATTTTTGCACTCAGGTCTAAGTCTCATGGCCCTCTATCAGAATCCAGAGTTTTGGGAAGATTGGAGAAACTTAATTTTTCGCCCAAAAAAAAAAAACGTAAGGGGTACCACTGTCGTTTTTTTTTCGGGCCGAATTTTTGAGTTTCGATATCTCAGCTCTGGAAGGGGCTAGAGCCTCCATTTTTGCACTCAGGTCTAAGTCTCATGGCCCTCTATCAGAATCCAGAGTTTTGGGAAGATTGGAGAAACTTAATTTTTCGCCCAAAAAAAAAACGTAAGGGGTACCACTGTCGTTTTTTTTTCGGGCCGAATTTTTGAGTTTCGATATCTCAGCTCTGGAAGGGGCTAGAGCCTCCATTTTTGCACTCAGGTCTAAGTCTCATGGCCCTCTATCAGAATCCAGAGTTTTGGGAAGATTGGAGAAACTTAATTTTTCGCCCAAAAAAAAAACGTAAGGGGTACCACTGTCGTTTTTTTTTTCGGGCCGAATTTTTGAGTTTCGATATCTCAGCTCTGGAAGGGGCTAGAGCCTCCATTTTTGCACTCAGGTCTAAGTCTCATGGCCCTCTATCAGAATCCAGAGTTTTGGGAAGATTGGAGAAACTTAATTTTTCGCCCAAAAAAAAAAAACGTAAGGGGTACCACTGTCGTTTTTTTTTCGGGCCGAATTTTTGAGTTTCGATATCTCAGCTCTGGAAGGGGCTAGAGCCTCCATTTTTGCACTCAGGTCTAAGTCTCATGGCCCTCTATCAGAATCCAGAGTTTTGGAAGATTGGAGAAACTTAATTTTTCGCCCAAAAAAAAAAACGTAAGGGGTACCACTGTCGTTTTTTTTTCGGGCCGAATTTTTGAGTTTCGATATCTCAGCTCTGGAAGGGGCTAGAGCCTCCATTTTTGCACTCAGGTCTAAGTCTCATGGCCCTCTATCAGAATCCAGAGTTTTGGGAAGATTGGAGAAACTTAATTTTTCGCCCAAAAAAAAAAACGTAAGGGGTACCACTGTCGTTTTTTTTTCGGGCCGAATTTTTGAGTTTCGATATCTCAGCTCTGGAAGGGGCTAGAGCCTCCATTTTTGCACTCAGGTCTAAGTCTCATGGCCCTCTATCAGAATCCAGAGTTTTGGGAAGATTGGAGAAACTTAATTTTTCGCCCAAAAAAAAAAAACGTAAGGGGTACCACTGTCGTTTTTTTTTCGGGCCGAATTTTTGAGTTTCGATATCTCAGCTCTGGAAGGGGCTAGAGCCTCCATTTTTGCACTCAGGTCTAAGTCTCATGGCCCTCTATCAGAATCCAGAGTTTTGGGAAGATTGGAGAAACTTAATTTTTCGCCCAAAAAAAAAAACGTAAGGGGTACCACTGTCGTTTTTTTTTCGGGCCGAATTTTTGAGTTTCGATATCTCAGCTCTGGAAGGGGCTAGAGCCTCCATTTTTGCACTCAGGTCTAAGTCTCATGGCCCTCTATCAGAATCCAGAGTTTTGGGAAGATTGGAGAAACTTAATTTTTCGCCCAAAAAAAAAAAACGTAAGGGGTACCACTGTCGTTTTTTTTTTCGGGCCGAATTTTTGAGTTTCGATATCTCAGCTCTGGAAGGGGCTAGAGCCTCCATTTTTGCACTCAGGTCTAAGTCTCATGGCCCTCTATCAGAATCCAGAGTTTGGGAAGATTGGAGAAACTTAATTTTTCGCCCAAAAAAAAAAACGTAAGGGGTACCACTGTCGTTTTTTTTTCGGGCCGAATTTTTGAGTTTCGATATCTCAGCTCTGGAAGGGGCTAGAGCCTCCATTTTTGCACTCAGGTCTAAGTCTCATGGCCCTCTATCAGAATCCAGAGTTTTGGGAAGATTGGAGAAACTTAATTTTTCGCCCAAAAAAAAAAACGTAAGGGGTACCACTGTCG